TAGGAATTTTAATATAGCCTTGACTGACTTCAAAACTCACTATAGATTATCAGGATGTAAAGGGATGGGTGATATCTACTTGTGTGTTATAATGCAGAGGTTCTAAAAGGACACAATGTGCCTCCTATGAGGAAAAGCCATCACTGGTCAACTCCAACACAAGTCAACCATTTCCATCTTAATGTTATTACTTAGAGGATTGGCATTATTGGTTACTATTGTGTCCTATCAGAATTCAACTAAAGTTTGTAATACATTTGGATGGGTTCTCACTGATTTATTTATAGTTTGAGGCATAGATACCTCATCTTCCCCAAGAATGAAAGCCATGTCTTTTAAGAGATGCAGGCTCTATTATACTTAGAAAAACATTAGCCATCGTTTGAATATTCATAGAAATATCAAGAACCTGGCACTAATCTCCAGACACTTAAAGACTATTTAAATAGTTCCTTGATGCAACATGCTTATTGGTTAAGTATTGTAAACAATTGTGAACCATATTGTGCCTACCATAGAAGTGATGTCACTCACCATAAAAATCACAAGATTACATTATAACACACAAATCAGGCATTCTCAATGATTTATGTAGCCAAATGCCAGACTTCTAAAAAAGAGCTGACATGGCACTGTAGATAGGCATCTAGTATGATATGGTTAGGAGTCTCCTTGGTCTGCTAAATTCCAGAGAGACTAGAAGTCTGCAGAATATATTGAAGTATAAATAACCACATCTGTTACCATTGAGTAAAGGACAGAAGGCAGAATGGGATGGGGGCTCATGGACAAGGGCTAATGGAAAGAAAATGAAAACCACCTTTTCTCAATCTCCTCTCCTGGCCTTGGACTAAGCTCTCAAAATATGTGGCAATGGCCTCCATAGTTTCTTAAGTAACCGATTAACAAGTCAAGTCAATTTTTAAACAACTGACTTGCACATTTTTCCTCTATCTCTCTGATCACCTTTCCAACAAAATTCCTCAAAAGAGTTGTTGATATGGACTATCTCTCATTTCTCTTCTCCAGTTCTCTCTAGAACCTTTCAAACTGCCCTTGACAAGGCCACCAGTGACCTCTGTGCTGCCAGATTCTGTGGTCGGTTCTCCAATCCTTGACCTTTCAGCCACATTTGACGGTCAATCACACTGTCCTTGGATGGAGGGCTGGAATTTGGGGCTATTTTGTTCACTATTGTATCCCAACTTCTGGAATAGTGCCTAGTGCATAGCAGGTGTTTCATAAATACTTATTGAATAAATTGTTCACTTCCTGGAGGAGGTGAATCATAAAGAATAGGTAAGAACTAACCAGGCAGGTGAGGATGGAAGAGAATTCTGGCCAGAAGAAATAGAACCTCAAAGCCACAGAGGCCTGAGAGAACTTGGCAGATTCAGTAACATCCAAGTAGTTCTGAATGGCTCTGAAGGATGCTCTCCATTAATTCCCATCTCCATTCAGGGGGTCTCTTGCACAGTGAGGCCCCTTCATCCCTAGGGCGATTAAGCCATTTCCTGGCTTGTTTTAGGGAGAAGCTCTTGGAGCCTGAGACTCATTGCCCCCCTTCCCAGCTCCGGTGCTCTCACTTGAGGAGCAACAGCTGCAGGTGAGGGCCACGGGAAAGGAGCGAGTGAAGACAGAAGAGAAGAAACAAGCTCTCAGATTAATCCTGTGAGTTCATCACACCGGAAAGGTGGATCCAGAAAAGCCATGTTTGGCAGGTAACGGGCTCTGCCTGTGTGACTCAGCAGCCTCTAGCGTGGCATCCAAGTTGAGCTGGTTGAAGTAAGCCTCGTTCCCCAAGGCCTGATGAGTGAGCTTGTAAAGGGCTCGCTGAAATGCATTGCAAAACCATTCACTGTTCCAGCAAGATGCTTTAAAACCAGGCTCAGAACTAATCCCAAAAGAGGGAGTCTTGATCCAAGTTCACAATGCATGTGAATAAGTCACCCAGCATCTGCCAGCTTTTAGTTCCATGTAAACTGGGAAATCAACAACGTTCTGTTGGGTGTGCAGCCCATTAGTACAGGGCCACTGGTTCTCAAAGACTCTGGGATTGAGATCCTCGGCCTCCACAACAGGGCCGCTTCACGTGCCTCTTGCTTTTCTCACCAAAGCATCTCAGTGTTTTCCCAGGATGGATGATTTATCCCATTCAGTAGATGAGGCCCAGATAAGCTAAATTCTGCCTGCAACCACCCAAGTCAGTTCCTGAGGTCAGAATTGAGACCTAGACCTGCCAGCCCTGTTGTGGCCATTGGATGGCATCCTCTGTGGGACTCTAGAGGACAGTAGAGGCCACGGGGCAAGTCTTCTTGCATGGAAACTGGTGGGCAAAGGGGATGGGCAGGTGTGGGGGTGGAGCACTGAGAACCTCTCAGCACAGCAGAAAGAACAATTCAAAGCATATGTCCTACCTGAGGTGTGTCAATGATATTTTCTTTGTAAATAAAGGACATCAGTGCTGAAATCAGTAGTTGTATAATCATAAAAGGTTGAACTGGAAGGGGCTCTGGGAGAGCATCAATCCAATTTCTTTTGTTTCTTGGTGAGGAAATGGAGATCCAGAAGGTCTGTTTCAGTTGCTCAAGGTCGCACAGTGTGTTTATGCTGGCACCAGCACTGGAAGGCTTGTATCTTCAGCACGGATCCTGTGCTCTTTGCAAATGCCAGTCATTCTCACAATAATTCTGTTTTTTGACGCCACTTTGAAACCAGGTCAGTCTCCCCCTCTAAAACTTTAGGTAGCTCCTCCTCTCTGCTCTTCTGACCTCTGAACTGAAACCACGGAAAGACATCACAGTTAAAGGTGGGTGTGCACTGCTCGGCATTGTAACTGAAGACTTAAAACCCCTTGAATCTTCTACTCATTTGGTCTTGGAGCCAAAACTAACACAGCCATGAAAAGAAATGCTGGGAAACCTCCGAGACACTCTTGGAGAGGCAGCTTCTGGGAGTTGGTGAGCCCGGTTTCACTGACAAGGTCAGGCCCACTCTGGGGCATGTGAGGGAAACGTGTTTGGAGCCGTGTTCTCAGGCTACCTGCCTGGGCCTTCCATTCCACTGAGTGACAATCATGGCTCTCGGCAGGGCGGCAGCTGCCAGCGGGAGGCTCTCCCATCACTCACTCACCCACCAGGTGTTCCTCCCAGCCACCACAGCAGCTTGGCAGGGAGTGCCACTGCCAGGGTGCTGATGGGCAAGGCGGTGCAGTGCTTGCTCCTCTGCCATCCAGGTGTCAACATATGGAATATGGATCTGCCCTTCCTTAACAAATAAATAGAACTTTTACAGGCTGAGTAATCCCACATGGGATAAGCCAGACTGCTAGTTACCCCAGGTTTTCCAGCCAGGATCGAGCCTCTTTTGTACTGGATCACAGAGCCCATCAGAATTCTTGTACGGAGTGGTATTTCCAGAACGCTGGTCATCCACTGGGTAGCCGTGAGGCTACATGTCCCTCACACTGGAGTTGCAGGGAGCCAAGTATTCCTGGAGTTCCCTTTGGCAAATGTCCTACCTCAGTTCCCACAATCTATGTTCATGGTTCTGTGCAGATGCAATCAATTCCTCCCAGTCAGCCTCAGGAAAGAGTGACAACTTAAGGAAGGGGCACTCTCTTGCAGGGAAAGACATCCACCCCAAACCTCTTCATTCTTCTCCCAGCTGCTTTCTGACCTCAGTGAAATGGGCAGGGACACAAACTCTTGAGTCGTTTTCATCTTTGTGCTGATTGGCTTCCAATGCCAGGCCTCTAGTGAACAGGGTAGTCTGGCTGGATCCTGACAAGTGAAAAGGGGATACTGGCAAGGTGGACAGAGACCAGGCTGGAAGTTGAGTCCTGGAGTTCCACAGCCACACAGGATAAAGCTCATAGTGCTAACGTAGTAAGAGCACCAGCCTAGGAATCAAAAGTCTTGGGGTTTAAGATGCTTGCTTAGGTGTCACTTAACTTTCTTGAACCTCAGTTTCTTCAGCTATAAAATGGGGATAGTAATACCTTCCCTGCTCACCCCACCTAATTATGAGTTAGAATAAAGGAAAGCTTTTGGAAAGCCAGTGAGTACTCCCCAGAAATAAGTTTTCACTTTGCCTTTGTTCCTTGTTTTGTTGTCGTTGTTTTTGTTTCTTTTGTGTGGGTTTTTTTGTTATTGTTATTTGTTTGTTTGTTTTGGAGACAGAGTCTCGCTCTGTCACCCAGGCTGACTGCAACCTCCGCTTCCGGGTTCAAGCAATTCTCACACCTCAGCCTCCCGAGTAGCTGGGACTACAGGCACACACCACCATGCCCAGCTAATTTTTTGTATTTTAGTAGAGACAGGGTTTCACCATGTGCCCAGGCTGGCTGGTCTTGAACTGCCTTAGCTCAGGCAATCTGCCCACCTCAGCCTCCCAAAGTGCTAGAATTAGGTGTGAGCCACCGCACCTGGCCCACTTTGCCCTCGTGAGCAGTCACGGTGTTCCTGCCTACTGGTTGGTTTAGCCACCTTGGCCCATTGCTGAGTGAGGGGTGGGCTCCCCTGAGGGAGGACAACGTAGGTCAGCCCCTGGGGTTATCATTTGTTCCCCTCCTTTCTATAAACTGTCGACAGATACTGCTCAAAGAAGAAAGGTACACCAACCCTAGTTACAAGGAAGGACTAGTCCTGCCCCTGATGGCTGTGGCTGATCAACGAGGAAGTAAACTTGGACTGGGAAATCACAAACTGTCTTGGCCTGCAACATACATCCCATTGATAAACCTATTGATAAAGCCTAACATCGATAAGACATCTGTCTGGACCTTCCAGGTCTGAACAGACAGGGCAGCTGCTGCGAACCTGGGGAAACTGACAATCCGATTCCTCTCTGTGATCTGAACCTTCCCTCTTCTCACTGCATCACCAGTGCAGGCCTCTCTGACTCACACAAGACCGTTTTTTAGCACAGGGTCACATCGAGGTCAACCGTCAACCCCAATGCTACAGAAACTCACCTCTGACTGCGAACCTCCAGGTTTGTTTTAATCTACCAAGCAATGAATTGGCACTTTTCACTGAGGAATGACTACTGGGCCCTTTAGAGCTGCTTTAAGCTCCGTGACTTAATGACTCTCCTGTTTAATGGAAGCAAAAGCCGTTTAAGTGGTCACAGCTGCCAGAAACGCTGCTAAAAGAATGAAACTTTCTGAGCAGGTAGGGCAGTAGCAGCGCTAATCTCTGAGCCCGCCAGCCCTGCCCGCCCTTATCTCAGGCTTGTTTTGACAGCACCTGGAGCTGGTCCCATGAGAAGAGCAGCAACCTCGCTCCTTTCCCTTTTCTCGTCTTCTGCTGCAGCCCATGGTTTGCTGCAGGGGGGAAGGAAGAAACAATCAAACATTGTCTTGTTGAGGACTGGTGTGTCAGGGCCTCATGGAATAAATAGTATTTGCCTGGGAGGGGAATTGGCTGGAAGACAGCTCAGTGTCAGGTGTGGGCTGGGGCGGAGGGGCAGGAGGGCGGTGATGTTTGGGTTTGGTTTTATTATTAGTTTAATCTTTTTCTCTCTACTGCTATGGATTTCTTTTCCTCCTGACAGGCCATTAAGCACAAAGCTTGTGTCTTACCCAGCCTCTGCCAGGAAGAAACAAAAGACATTTTCCAAAGGACGTGCCCTTGCGTTACTAGGGCTCCTCGGTCACTCCCTGTCCAGCTGTGCGTGGCAAAGGGTGCACGCTGCAGGACCCTCGCAGGGTGAAAGCTCCTCTGGGAGCCCTCCGTCTGCGTCTGCAGCCCTGGCAGCTCCAGATGTCTTACCTGATGGGTTCATGGCTCTGTCATTTTGTCTCTGAGGCAAATACTGAAAGGACAGTAGGCTCCTTTGTAGGTCTGGGGAAACTGGGAACCCCGCACCCCGGTATCCCAGTCAGTCAGCACTTACTGAGTGCTTCATGTATGCATGTCACTAATGGCTCTAGCCTGCTGCATTGCACAGTTCCTTCAACAATTTTGCCTCAAGAAAGCTGCACGTCTCTCCAGTATAAAGTACTAAAGATCAGTGACTATGAGACAGACACTTGAAGGATTGCTCCATAAAGGCCGAGCCCTCCTTATCTTAGAAGAATAAGAACATTTTCTTGTAAGGACAACAAGAGCCCGGTAGCCTTTCCACAGCCACAGAGCAGCGGAGCAGTGAAAGGGTGCCTGCACTGTGCAATCGAGAGTCTTCTTCCTGGCCAGGCATGGTTGCTCACACCTGTAATCCCAACACTGTGGGAAACCAAGGCAGGAGGATCACTTGAGCCCAGGAGTTCGAGACCAGCCTGGGCAACATGGTGAGGCCCCGACTCTACAGAAAAATTAAAAAATTACTCAGGGATGGTAGCATGCACCTGTGGTCCCAGCTACTCAGGAGGCTGAGGTGGGAGGATTGCTTGAGCCCATGTGGTAGAGGCTGCAGGTGAGCCACGTTCTCTCCACTGTATTCCAGCCTGGGCAACAGAATGAGACTCTGTCCCCCCACCCTCAAAAAAAAATCTTTAACCATAAACCTTTCCCCCATCCCTAAATCCATTTTGGGTATAAGCCATCTACCCAATGGCTGTAGTAATAGTTGTTGATGATTGAGAATGTACAGTATGTTGGGCACTTGCTAAGTGCTTTCCATATATTACCTCACCATGTGGCAAGCCTGGAGAGAGTGAGGAACTGCCCAAAGTCACACAGGTCATCAGGCTTCCCGAGAACGGCACCACGGCCTTGGCTTTACAGGCATGGCACTTGAGTTCACCTTCACATGCTGGGGATCCTGTGTTCCCAGAAGGCAGAGACCCTATCTGTGCACTTTTGTTAATTATTTTTGCATACAAAATAATTCAGTCCTGTGCTCAGTGCCATGAACAATTAGGGATTTAATACATGCTTTTTGAGGGTGGTAACGATCTCACCATCCCAGCCAGTGAAATAACCATTCCCTCCCTTCTCTCAAAGAGAAACAAAGAGCCACAGCAGACCGAGCCACCCCAGGCACACTGCAGGGTATCTGGAGATGGCACCAGCAGGTGAGTCCCGCAGACCTGGCTTTGGATCCTGGCCTGGTCACCCACGGCCTGGCCCCTGGGGTGCACCAGCTGACCTCTCCAAGGCCAAGTTTCCCCAAACATGGGAGAAAGTCACAGCACCTACCTTGTAGGGTCATTGTGAAAATGAAGTGAGAAAATGCTCACGGTGTTCCCAGCAGCCCTGCCTGGTGGAAGGTAGGTGTTTCATGTCAGTTTCCTTACTCAGCACCCAGGCATCTTCTTCCTCTTGTGGAGCTCTCAGCACTCAAGAGCCCCTTCAGTAAGACCTGGAATGCAGTTGTTGACCAAAGGAGTGCTGGCAGGGAGGGAGGATCCCCACTTGGGTGGCCGTATCTCCTACCTCTGCTCTTGGTCCCCCTCTGCCTTGGGGACATTCCCACCAACACAGGCTGCTGGTACCACACCCTGCTGACCAGCACGCACTGCTCTTCTTACTTACCCCAAAAGCCCAGACTTGAATATCCTGTTGTCCTCAGTGGCACGGCTGAGACCAGGCTGGAGCTTTTAAACAAGATGTAACTCAAGTGGGGAATAACATGCAAGTAACTCTGAAGGTGACTGCTGCACCCTGTGGCCCACACAGAGAGGCTCTCTGCCCAGCCTCACTTGTCTGCAAAGGATATCCTCCAGCCTATCTAGAGTCCACAAGGTCCAGGCTGGAGAGAAAGAGACCAAGGAGCCAGACGTCTCTCTCCCACCCACAACCTACTTTCTGAGTTCTTACTTCCATACTGAAGACAGGCCTTCTTCAGGAAGACAGACTTCTATCAGGAGTCAGAGTTCCTTTCAGTGGTTCCTGCCTTATTATATTAAGGAGTGTGGCCCAGCAAATAAACGTCAATTCAACAATAAACCCTGTGTCTATACATGCAATGCTCCCTAGAACAGTGGGGAAAGGGAAGAGGAGGGGAATTTGATTACAAGTGCTTTATGTTTACACTGTCTCATTAGATGCTTCCAACAGGCCTATCAGATATTTTAGGACCATCATTCCTAATTTGCAGGTGACAAAAGTTTGGCTTGGAGAGGTTAAGGGAATGACCAAGCTAAGTCCAGTTCTCCTGTCTCCCTCCCTTGAGTTCAGGATACCAACCCAGTCCCTGAATCTTCCCCAAGAACAAGCCTGGGGCCAGGGTGAGAAAGGGGCTTCCTGGAAGAGCTGAGTTAAATTGGCACTGGATGCAGCCACAGGCAAGAGGACATGGTGGTTGTCTCTCTCTCTGCTAGGTTATAGTTCAGGAGACCTGGTTCAAGCCCAGGTTTTGCCACTTGGAAGGCTGTATGGTCTGAAATCATTATTCTCAGTGCCTCAGTTTCTGCATCTGTAAAATGGTAAGGAACAAACCAATTAATATACATAAAGCCCTTAGTGCCCTTGATGCCTAGAACATGTATTTAATAAATATCAACATTTTTATTAACATTGTTATTGTTACGTTATTCCCTTTCAAAGTCCTGCAAGAAATAAATGGGATGACAGATGTGAAAATGTGTTATAAGCTGTAGAGGTAAGAAATGACCACTCATGCATGCTGGGAAGGTAACAGGAAAAGGACTTGGCCTTAGATGATGTCATTGAACAGCCTCAAACTTTCAACAGGAAGCACATAAATACTCCAAAAAGAGTACTCCAACAATTTGAAAGCCGGCCACCGAGTCCAAGTTTCTGCCACAGTTCCAGGGCCAAGTCTGTTTCCAGAGAGCCCTGTAATTGCTTTCAACCTGTGCCTCACCCAAACACCATGGCTGGCGCAGGTGGACACCTTCCCTCTCTTCTCCTTCCACGGTGGGCCCCAGAAAGAAATACTCCAATAATTTACCTTGTGGTTTTCAACTTTAGGCCAGATTGTTTGTTACGTATATAACTGTTTGCATTTCACTTACTTATCCTCAGTCATCACACACCTGGGAGGGAAGGAGGCTGCGCAGAGGCCCCGGAGCCCCAGCCCCGCGTGGTTACGCCTGTCCGCACTTCTGGTCTTAGTCCTTGAGTGCGTTAGTGTGAATGGAGCACACAATTAAGCTCTGTCTCCCTTTCTCAGCGAACTCAGGTGCAATCCTTCTTGACAGTCTGGAGGAACCAGGAAGGCTGGCCACCCAGTGAGTTGCTGCTAGCCAATTAATGGCTGAAAGCCCAATAGTACCACCCCTCACTGTCTTGTAGCAAAGACTCCTTGGCTCATGTTTAGAATGTTAGCCAAATAAGAGTCACTGAGTGCAACTTTATGGCAGCACTCGGCTGGAAACAATGGGGCATCTAGGGGAAGTGTCCGTGCTTGGTCCCTGCCCTTACAGAGATCAGTCTGGCTGATGGAATGAGACCAATGAAATGGAAACAATGAGCAAATCATAAAAGGCAGTACTGTCATGAAGAGTTCGATTTTATGACAGAATGCAATTGTTAGAGTAGGGAGAGATGGCCAAAAGCTAGAGTGGGCAGGGAAAGGTTTCTGTGGGAAGAGGTTTGTTAGCAGGGCCTTTCAAGCGCACAGGAGTTGAACTGGTGGGAGGGAGAGTGGCATTCCAAGTTGGGGAAGCTACGTGAGAGAATCTAGGAGACAGAAAAGAACAAGGGCTGTTTATAGAGTAGAGGCCAAACTGGCATGACCGGAGTAGAAGGAGGGCATCCTAATTCCCAGCCTTATCCACCGCTTTGAAAGAACCAGGAAAATGAATTCCTATTGGCCATAAAACTAGTTGAAGGTGATGTAACCCGTCCTATTCAGCCTTCCACATTTACAGCTATACAGGAACAAGTCTCTGAAACTCAGTCTCCTCACTCGTAAAATGGGATGGTAATACACGTCTAGCAGAGCCAGTGAGAATTAAAAGGGGTAAGACGCACAGGCTCCCAGGGCAAGTACTAGCAGACAAGGAATAGGGCAGTCCTCCCTTCACACTCCACAGAGAATAAACGTCCTCCAACTCTCCCAGGAGGCAGAGCCCAGCTCTCCTTCCAAACAGCCTTGGAGTTGCTTGGCCTCTGTACTTCTTTAGCGACGTTGTGGGCAAAAGACAAATGCAGTTCTCTTGTACCTGCCAAGGAGAACCAGACCCTGTGTGGGTCTCTTGCTGTTACATTGCTCCACAGTGGATGCCGGATGGGACTGAGGCAGGCCCACCTGCCCGGAAAGCCTGCCTGTACGCGGACCCCGTGGGGCCCTAACAAACACCCTCCCAGCCACAGGGGCTCTGCAGAGCTAAGCCAGCTGTCCTGTGGAGGCGGGGACCCTCCTCCTGCCCTGCCACTCTCTTTCTCCTGAGAGGACAGGCAGGTGGGCATGGCCACAGGAGAACCTCTCAAAGGTGCTAACTGGCCCAGGGAAACAAATGTGGCCTGGTAGGGAGTTGCCTACCAGAGACTCAGAGAGAACGGGAGAAGTTGAGTGAGAGGAGGCCGTCATAGAGCACGCCGTCCTGCACGCAGCCTCGCGTTAGGGAAAGCATTTGTGAGGGAAGTGGCGATAGGTGGTTGCTAGGTTTGGAAACAAACAAACAGCCGACGAAAATGTTTCGGAAAGAAGGAGTGTCTACTCAATCAGCCCCGAGGGACATGTCCGCACTGCCTGACCGTGCTCCTCAGCCTGGTTTCAGGCCACCGAGTCCAAGTTTCTGCCACAGTTCCAGGGCCGAGGCTGTTTCCAAAGAGCCCTGTAATTGTTTTCCACCTGTGTCTCACCCATTCCACCTGTGTCTCACCCAAACACCAAGGCTGGCGCAGGCGGACACCTTCCCTCTTTTCTCCCTCCAGGCTGGGTCCCAGAAATCATTAGAGGAGGGAGGAATAAGTCCAGCGTGGCTGTGCCTGGCAGAAGCCCGGGTGGGTCTGTGGGGCTAAGAGGCAAAGGCGGGTGGCGAATGTAGGCCAGCGGGAGCCTGGAGGGGTTGACACCGCCTGCTCCACGGCAAGTCCCTGGAGGAAGAGCCCTGCTATGCCCTGAGAGCGAGCGCGGGCAGGTGTAACCACGCGGGGCTGGGGCTGGGGCTGGGGCTAGGGCTGGGGGCTCCGCGCAGCCTCCTTCCCTTCCAGGGACACCGCACAGCTGCGCTCTGCCGACTGCGCGGGCCTTAAGATGCTGGTGGCTGCCGCGGGCTTGGCCTGCTCCTCGCACACGGCCATCCGGGAGCCACCGCGCTGTGCCTCTGCTTCAGATGCTTGGCTAGAGAAAGGGTGGCAAGACAGGGCAGTGCGTGTGCGCGCGCGGGGAAGTGCATATGAGTGCACACATATACATATGTGAGCGCATGTGTGTCTGCGCGTGTGCGTGTCCATGGGAACCAGAGGAGGCACCCTCATTCTGAGCCGCCAGAGGACTGCCTGAAGCTGCTGGATAGAAACTCCCCTAGAATGTAAGCTCCGTGGGGGAAGGAGTTTTGTTTGATGGCTGCTATATTCCCAGTGCCCATTAAAGTACTGGGGACACGGCAGATGCTTAATAAACAGCTATTAAGTTAATCAATGGACTCCAGGAATGGAGGCATGCCGGCCCTTCTGGAACTGGAGAAAGGACAAGGCCACATTTTATCACCTTCTCTGTTCTTCTTGGTACCAGCCCTGGCGTTCCTGGCAACGCCAATCCTTCTCACCTGCAGGTGGTGCGGAGTTTTCCTCCCTGCTCCTGTTCTTACACCTTCACCCCTTTGTCTCTGTTTCCTGCTGGCCCTGTGTGTAAGCGGCCCCGCAGTCAGAGTGGGAGACAGGAAGGTGAAAGAAGCAGAGCTCTGGAAACAGAGAGCTACCAGGGTGGCCTCTTCCTTCTGGAAGGACACAGAATGATGGGGTGAGACTGGCGCTCTTCTTCAGCTCCTCCCTTTGGGAATGTAGACTTTGAGCTTCAGTTTCCTAACTTTGAAACAGCAGCTATTCCACTTGCCTCGCGGGATTGTTGCAAGAGGTCAGGCAGGAGGCTGGAAAGTTCTGGAGCACATGATAGGTCCCACAGAAATGTCCGTTTCGTTTCCTGACTAGCATCGGACAGTCTGGGAGTGCCCAGGTGTGGCTGAGTGTGGCTATGGTTTGATAATCACGACCAGAACGCCCCTCTTTTTTTCACAAAATGCCTTGAGGAGAATTTAATGGCTGCCAAAAATTAAGTCAAGCTTCATTTCTAAAGCGTTCAGGAGTCAATATGCTGTGAGTCATGTATTGTCCGGGCCTCCGTTCACTCTGGAGGGAGCTTTTCCAAGTAATTAAACAACGACATTGTGACCAAACTGAAGCCCACCAGCCCCAGCCTTTCCATTCGGGACCTTCTCCTGCACATGCTGCTGCTGCTGCTGCCTCCAGGACCACTGCCAGGGAGACCAGCAGATTCTTCCTTTAGCTGTAGAGGGAGACACTGCGAACACCTACCGCTGTCAGTAACGCTTTTCATCTCGAAAGGAAGGATCTGATTTCACTCTTCTCAGCCCGATTTAAAGACCCATCAGAAATAACAAACTTCATGGGATCATTAGGAAATTATCCTCTTACAAATTGGTAGATGTCGTCTTTCTTTTCCTTGGGACGAGACAGAAAGGACATTGTTTGTCTTTTACCATGGTGAAGCCGCTGCGATTAACCACGCCACCGGGGAACGGTTCACTTGTGGGTAAGCTGATAGCTTGCCGTTCCAGGGTGCGCCTGCCAAGGTACTCCAGAATAAATGTTACCTCCTCTGTGCACCCCTTCCTGATGAAAGGAAAACTTCAGTCACATTTAGTTAAAGGAGCCCTTTAAACCTGGCCTGTCAATATCCTGGAGGTGGAGGATCACACCAAGGTTAAGAAAAGGTTTCCCAGAACTGGCTAGACATGTATTTGTTTAAAGGGATTAGGTGCATTCAGACTGGGCCTGGTCAATACTGCCTGTTTTGGGGTTCGTAGAAAACAGTGCAAACATCCAGAGAGAAACTAGGAAGTCCTAAAGACCCAAGGAAGGATTTTTTTTTTTCTATTTGATAACAAGGAGAAATCTCTGCCTGTAAGATTTCTAAATCCTGACCTGTTTTAACTTAGGAGTCTTGTAAAAGTTATTGTAAATACAGACCAAAAGGCCAATGGTAAAATTGGAATGAACATACGCCTCTGCCTTTCACTCTGACGTATTCTATGTCACTCCTTTCCTACCTCTCCTGCTCTGTCTTACTTTGTCTCTCTGTGTCTCTCTGTGTCTCTCTCATACACACACAAGGCAACAACCCAACGGGCTTGACAAATCTTAGATCCATTAAGAGTCTTCTGAAGTTTTCAATATGCTAAAAGACGCACTAAAAGAATATATGTGTGCATGTGCATATATGTTAGCATTTCTGTTTAGCACTTGGTATATTCCAGAAGCTCTTACACACATTTTCTCACTGTGGCAGGTGATATTATTATCATCCACAATTTTTCCAAAGAGTAGACTGAGACTGAGACTCAGGGAGGTGAAGTGACTTGGGTAACAGTGTGCCATCAGGGTACGGTATAGCCAGGAGTGAATCTGTCCTCCCAGTGCATTAGAAATGACCATCGTCTCATCCAGCTCTGCATGAAAAGACTCCCATAATTAAATTACCACTCTATAGTAAAGCCCTAATTGCAGTTTCATGTGCGGCCCCTTCCAGAAGTATTTGCAATTCATAATCCAAATGAGAAAAGCTGCTCGTAAAAATTTCAGGTACCAGTAACAGGCTAAATAAAGGAAACAAACACTAGGGCTTAAGATGAGTTGGGGACTCTTGAGTTGCAAAAGTTGGCAGGAGTTTTGTTTCTAGGAGCCTCTGCAAGCCTCCTGGATGCCCCTCTGCCTTCAGCCTGTCCCCTTCCAATCTGCTCTATGCGGTGCCAACTACTTGCTTCAACAGACTGGACATACAAGCTTCAGAAGGGAGGACTCCCTAGCGCAGTGGCTCCCTGAATGTGGTCCCAGGACTGGCAGAAGCAGTGTCACCTGGGAGCTTAACAGAGATGCCAATCCTCAGGCCCTCCCCCAGCACTGCTAAATCAGAAACTACAGGAGAGGGGCCCAGCAATCTGTGTTTTAACAAGCCCTCCTGGTAGTGCGGCACACACTGAAGCGTGAGCACCACTGCCTACTGCCTACAAGAGAGTGCCCAGACACCTCCCAGACCTCCCTAACTGAACCTAACAGGTTCCTCTCCTCTAACCACACCCACCTAACACTCACTGTTCTCTAAACATTTCTTTTTCACATTTATCTTTGATGCCCTGTTCCTGTTATTTTGAATGGCATTTCCTTCTTCCCTGCCTGACGAACTCATATTTATCATTTAAAGCCCAATTCAAAGATCGCTCCCTCTTGAGACTTCATGTGCTTTCTCTCTGCTGAGTTTTTGTTACTCCTTCCGTACCTCCCCTGACGGCACCCGTGCATACCTCAACAGCATCGCCACGTCGTGTTCTTTGGCATGAGCCTCATGGTGGACTGGAATCTCGAGGTAGCCCGAGTACCCAGTGTTGTGCCAGGAATGTGGCAGGTACTTAATAAATCTGGACTGATTAAATGAATAAGTGAACGCATTAGCCCAAGTACAGCCATCCCTTGGTATCCCTAGAGGATTCATTTTAGCACCTTCCCAGGATACCAAAATCCACAGAAGCCCAAGTCCTTGATATAAAAGGGCACAGTATTTGCATATAACCTATGCACTTCCTCCATATACTTTACATCATCTCTAGGTTACTTATAATACCCAGTACAGTGTAATCTATATAAATCATTAGACCTTATTGTTGAGGGGAAAATGACAAGAAAAAAGAGTCTGTACATGTTCAGTACAGATGCCATTTTTTGAATATTTTCCATCTGAGATGGGTTGAGTTCGTGGGTGTGGACCCCACAGAGAGCTATATTCTATCAGGCCTCACTGAGTAGTCAAAATAGGCAACTGGCCTGTGAGCACAGGGCTGGTTACTTCAGAGCCTGATCTGACCTCCAGGCATCCTGACTCCTAGCCAGGCTAGTCTGTGAAGTTTGGTTTGTTTCACCTGGGCGCCATGTCTTTAGGTTATGTACTTGTTAGACACGAGTCATTTTTGGCTACTTTGTGACAGATAAATATGTCAAACACTCAAAACAGGTACAGTTCTTCCCTTGCGGCTGTGGAGCTGTGACTGCGGAGGCCACAGCCTGCATCGGTTATCTTCGCATCTCTCTGTGTTTGTAGTTGTAAATGGCAGCGACCTATCGCAGTGGTATCTAGACCAACTATTAAACCATTTATAATGCCCAGAAACCAATTTGTGGCAGCCAGCAATTAGTTCCATTCGTGTTTTTAATTTTTCTCCCTTTGAAGTTTAATAGATGGTTATTATGATGTAGTCTTCACTGCCTCCAAGTCTGCAGGCTGT